ACTTTGAAATACGCTGAAATGTAGTAAATAACATGAATATAGAAATTTTATACTTTTTAGTGCTCCTCTAAAGATATCAAAGGTTTCATCTTGAATGGTCCATTCGTTGCAGAGTAATCGCTGGACATGCATAAAGAAACAAACGTTCTCATTTTCCAAATCGATCAAAAATAGAGGAAACTAATCTTCTTGTTGAAGAATAAATAGAAATAATGTGTCATACTTTATATTATATGATACAACAAGTAATTTACTATATTCATACTGAGATTGTGGTACAATTTCAATTCAGATTACCTTTCCGATCATCTGTTAAGTCGACGCGTTGTCGAATGTTGGAAATAAATAACAAATATTGTTATAGTAACATAAATGTTCGAGTAAATCGCAAAATCGAATGGATTACCGGATGGCGCGAAAAATGAAATACTTAAGAGGAAACATGTAAAATGTATTAAAATTAGGAAACTTGGAGAAAGTGGATTTGATCGTTATGGACATTAAAATATGAACAGTCATCATCTTTTTATAGCTAGTGGAAACACCGCAAAAGAGGTTTATCTTGACCTTTAACACGTGAAAATCAAATTACAAGGTTCGTGTAATACGTGATGTTCAATTCATCATGGTCGACGCGTCTGTCTATTGCGTATTCTTTCTACTTACGGGCGGACGAATGAGCTCAATAAGACGTCTTATTTGAAAACTTCATTCCTTTTAGTTGTACGCTGTTATATACACCTATTTGGTAAATTGTATTATATATTAATTTCATTAAATTCCTATATAATTTCCGTTATTATTAAGTTCATATATAATTCTGAGGGAACGTTTTATCGATCACCGGAAGTGAGTTGCGCGATGGTGAAACGCGAGATACGGAATTTAAAAAATGTTTAAATAAATTAGCCTTCAAAACGGGGACGGGTTGTGCATAAATTCAGCAGTCTCTCCGCAGCCCACGTCGCGATTGCATTTTTCACCCACGGTTCCACGTTATTGAAGATAAAAGTATCGAAAATCCTGTCTTTTTACTATCAGTTCACCTTCACCTTTGCTCCACTTACATAAACTATCCTTTAAATCTTTATGACCCATATCGAGAATATTTATATTTAATATCCATGATCGTTTTCCACATTTAAATCGTATTCCTTTTGTGGCATTACTTTGTACATTTACCACATTCACTTGAACGATGCGAATATGAATATTCGCTATGAAGAAAATGTGGTATTTTGCAAACATTATATATTCTAGGCTACTGTTGTTACTAGACTATGGATTTTATGCATTCATAGCCAGTAGGGCTCTGAGAAATACAATAAAATCTTTTTGTTGAACATTATTTTAAGTATTATTTCGTCCACCGTATTTGAAATACAAAAACAACTAAATAATTCGTTATTCGAAATTGCTATTATTTCAAATGAATCGACAATATTTTTATTTTCAAATAACAGTATTGAAAATAAAGTTCTGAAATAAATTATTTCCCAAATAATTGTTTCTTATTTTGATTTCGAATAAAATTTTCCCAGGTCTCCTCGTCACAGTACCATCCGGGACTATTTAAGGACACGTACTACGGCCCGTCTTAAAATGGCGGCGACAATTACGAAAGTCCCGTCGTTACCTAAATCATCGTGGCTACGTGGGTCCGTAGACGGGATTCGGTCAGTCATTCCGTGGAATAAAGAGGCTAAAACTCGTATAAACTTGAAGCAAATCCGCCTAAAACGTGACCAGCCTGTTCATCCAACGGACTTCTTGTAACGTCCAGCCATGTTTATTTCAAATTATTGTCTCGAAGTGTCGCGCGTCAAGGAACGGCCGAAAAACAGTCGTCAGAAACAAAGAAATTGTCCAAACAGACGTCAGAAACGGGAAAATAATTCACGAATCGCGACGATGGAAGTTTCGGGGTGTGGACAACTTGTCGTCGGATTATTTTCGTTACGGTCGAGTTTATTGCGATTAGGGGATTATTTACGACGAACGCTCGTCGACCCGACGTATCGTGACCGCGTGGTGCCACCATATTTCATCGGGAATATTTAGGAGTGACGGATGAACGGTATTTTTTTTCTTTTTTTTTTTTCGATGCAAAGTAACCGTTTTGTGGATCGTCAGGGGACAAATTGCGAATAACACGGAGCCATCGGTGACGTTTCTCAAACGTCGACGTCATTTGCTCGGACATTTATCGTGGAACAAACAGATTTAGGTATCTCTTCTTTTCTTTTTCATTGAATTTATCCCAGACGAATGAGAATTGAATTATAAAGTGGTGTATACTGAGAATCGATCGTGACAATAAAAATAAATTTTGTCGGTGTTAGTAAACCTGAGCTTAGTTTACTCTTTTTTTAAGTTAATTCTGTTGCGTTAATGAATTAAACGTTACCAGTGTTTGAGATGAAATTAATATTGAAGGTTATCGTATAGGTCTTTTATAAAAGTTTACAAGACTGTGGAATGTTCGTTCCATAACTCCTTTGGCTCCTTGTTAGCGAAGATACGGTCCAAGTAATAACAAAGACCCAACGACACAGAGTTATCCTTTAAGGGATGCCGAAGTTATCGACGAACGCTCGAGACGTTAACGTTTCTCCGTGAAAGTAAATTGCTTCTGAGCACGGATGAAATTCTTCAGAAACAGATTTCGTTCAGCTCCATTAGTGGAACTTACACATAGATGAAATGGTATGTTTCTGTGTTCACAAAGGAACGTAGAATATTTCGACATATTGTATCTGTTATAATTAAAACGAAACAATTAACATGGGCATCCTAATGAACATCTGGAACATGAAGTTTTTGATAACAAAATTAACGTACGATAAAGTTTTGGTTTTCGTTGCACTGTAGACCACTAAATGCATCGTGGTATTCATTTTTTGATAAAACATCTTAAAACATTTTGTTCGAAAATTATCGAAAGTAAAAATACTTAATTCTTCAAGTTTTACCTGAGCTTGCAGGTAATAGAACAGAATCTACAGATTTCACCTGAGCTTGCAGGTAATAGAAATAGATACAATCTGAGCAGACAGGTGATCAGAGGTATTACAGACGTTACCTGATCGTTTCCAGACAATAGAAAGTATTTTCAGATAAGTTGAAATTTCTGTGGATCAGTTTACATGTCAATCGACACCGTGATTACCTAAATATTTTATACAATTTACATTCACCCAATAACGTTGATAATCTCAATTAAAGCCACATGAAATTTCAAACTATATTGAACTACATTATCTGGAGCCTACAGAGAAAAAATTTTCTAGATATATCTACTGAAAATCGATACTGACTTCGGGGATATTCGCTGACCTCGATGTGTCATTTTCTTCGGAATATCTAATACACGAGACTAAATTCTTTCAAAAAATCCCCGCGCACCGTAGTTTTCATGCGATCCACCGAACTTTATGGCTCTAGCAAAACTTTACTACCCGCGCCGACCGAGTGTGGGAATAACACTTTTTATCTTCAATCTCAGATAAGACGCCTTCAAGATGGATACGTTATCCAATATAGGAGCGGGTTTATAATAGGCAAATACCTTAAAGTACAATATTTATTCAACAATGCGGCCGGCATGAATATTTTCCAGTTCATTGATATTCAAATATTCGAATTACACGGATATAAGGCGAGATCTTCTGCGTGCTTGGTAGTCCATTACGGACGTGGAATCGATCGACACTCAAGAGGAGTAAAAGTGCACTGGACAAATGTAATACTTATTCAGTTTTATCCTGGGGGCGCAGACATCTGCCTGTTTACCGAGGGATGTTTAAACAAACGCATTAACTGAATAGAATTTTCATTCGTTTGACTCTTGAGAAATGAATTCACGAGTGACTCGATAATCTTCACTTGTAACCCATTGGATCTTGGAAGTGTTTCTTGAACTTGCAACTAATCTAGTTTAAATGTTTCTAGTCTGTGGTTACAGCTTTGAGGTAATGATAACCTGTAGCAGTCACGAACATCTCTTTAATTTCATTAAAGCTTACGGTAATCTGAGCATAGAGAGTCACTTTATCCAAAGAAACCGAAATTGGAGGGTGTATTCGATCAGTTGGAACCTGATATTTCCAGCGACCTGATACTAAAAGAACCGAAGTTCAGAAACAGTTCATGTTTCCTATACTTAAAACAACCTGAGCTTTAGAAAATCTGAAACTACCGATGATTTTGAAGTAAAACTATTCTGCATCTTACAGATCACATTTCATATTCCAATCATACAGACTCCTCTCGATTATCATTGCGAACTCGGGTCTGCGCCGGGACAATAATCGTGTAGGAAGAACTGCTTCAGACCCTCGTAAATTAGTACTTTGCCCGAGGTCCGAGCGTCGACAACAAAAGTGGAGGGGTAATAAAGTATGTGCTTGACAGATTCCAAGGCCTCCCCCTCCCCCAGTGATGGGTATAACGCCTGGACAATAATCGTGTAGAATAAACCCGACGATAATCGAGAGGAGTCTGTATTTAAGTCGAGCTTGCAGAAATCATTTCCATATAGAAATCTGAGTTTATAGATACACTGAGCTTGCAGGAAATATTCAACGACAGAAACCTGAACCTTATGGGTTAGAATTAGATTTGAGATCACTCGAATTTAATACTACAACTACCGACGATAAACGCATATTTCCTTCGATCAATGGATAAACGTGAAAAACTTTAGAAAATTTCGAAATTTAGAAATTGACTAATTTCTTCACTTTCGTATCGTAATAAAAGGTGCAAAACATCTGAGAAAAAATGTATTGTCGTAAATTTTAATCGTCGTTGTAAGAGTGTATTGACAAGTCATTTTGACTTGCTTGGTAGTTCTAGTTTTAAATGCTTCACCAGATACATTTTCATCATTCCATAACGACTGAATCTGTAATATCTACTAATCGACGGAAGTATTGATTTATTATTTAACGAACTTATATGCCGGAAGAAGTTGAACATAGGAGGTATTTCAATTGCAGTTGCAGTGGTTGTCGCGTTTTTCATTTGCTGGGCGCCGTTCCATGCCCAGAGACTGTTGGCTGTCTACGCGCAGAGCACCAAGGCTGAACCGGAAGACGCGTTAGTAATAGTCTACACCATCCTCACGTACGTGTCGGGGGTGTTTTATTACCTCTCCACAACGGTGAATCCACTCCTGTACAACATCATGTCCAACAAATTTCGGGAAGCTTTCAAGGTAAATGTCACCGTGGTGTCCTCCGTTAGAAACTCTCCGACGTCTTTATTCAAAATCAATCTTCTAAAACTGTAGATCAAAATAAACTTCGTCTTCCATTCGAATTACATCGAAACATATCGGCATAAACATTTTTCGATTAAATTTGACGTTCGTGTAAATACTTTCAATTCCCGGACACTCGAAAGCTATCGACTTATACTTCACTACAGAAAAAATCAAACATGGTGGAGTATAATATCCACTCGTAAATTGACGCATAATTATTTACTGAAGCATGTTAACGAACAACAGAGATACAAAATATACAGGGTGATGGAAAAAAAGGGTTTATAATTTTTAGGGTAGATGGTACTCGCCAAATGGTGAAAAATGTAATATTTTTAAAGGTATAAACAGTCTTTCGTTTCGGTTAAAGATAGTGATTTTTCGGGATCTATCGTATCGTATGGAAACAATGGATTACCTTATCATTTTTTCTTTTTCTAGTTACTGAAGGTTTTTCACAATTTTTATTACTTTCTTTTACCATTTTCTTCATTGCTTCCATACGGTACGATGCCTCCCGAGGCGATTAAGTCACTCACTCCAACCAAAAGTAAACCTTTGAAAATATTCATTTTTCCATCCACGTTTATTGAAACTTCTTTTCATCATTTGGCGACTACTATCTGCCGCAAAAGTTATGAACCCTTTTTTTCATCACCCTGTATACATATTACTAATATAATAAACGAGAAATTTGCTTATTCTCTCACTAGTACGTAACGACCAATATACTAAACTTTCTCGAAGGCTCACGTTAGCTGCACATAAAATGACCGCCGTATATTTAAGTCCCTGTACCGTCCAGTGTAATAACTACGAAAAAAATGATAGGCCTTGATTCATAGCCACTACTTATTCTTAAGCAAATGCTTAAGTCCCCAATTACGAATGTGTAGTCCATATATGTATACGTATACATTCATAACTGGGGACTTAACACTAAAACTACCAACGATAAACGCATATCTTCTTCGATCAATCGATAAACATGGCAAACTTTTGAAAATTTACAAATTTATAAATTAACTAATTTCTTTAATGTCGTATCGTAATAAAAATTACGAAAGATCTCAGAAAATGTATTGTTATAACAATTTTAAGCATCGTTGTAAGAGTGTATTGGCAAGTCGTTTTGACTTGCTTGGTAGTTTTAGTGTTAAGTATTTGCTTAAAAATAAGTAGCGACTATGAATCCCGGCCATAGAGACCCCGAAATCAATCGAAACAATTTTGAGCGGATAGTACAACGGAGAACGTTGAACGAACTGAAGTCTACTTTCAGTCGATGCTGTCGAATCACTGCGGCCGGAAATGGTCCTCCCGGAAGTCTGTTCCTCGACAGCCGACTTACAGTAGCCTCTCGAGGTATCCAAGGTCCGCGATCAGGCACGCGGACGATCGTCAGAATTCGCCGTCAATATCCGTCAGCGACGACAACCAAAAGCTGACGAGCATCCACCGAGCGACGAACTCGATCGACGTGAATGGGCTGTCGGACCGGAAGGAACCGGGGAATCGATCGGTCGCGAAAGTTAGCAGGATCAACGGCCGTGAGTACGGGCGTAGCGTGTCCAGGGGATCGAATTCTAGTCAGCTGACATTGATGACCTCGATCAGCAAGAGCTTCAACGAAGGTAACAACAACGTCGCTGCGGCCTGCGTGAACGAGTGCCTGCTGAAGATCCAGAGACCGTCGAGGACCGTCGATTTTGGTAATTCTTGTCCATCAATCTTTACACATTTCATAGTTTGTTCCGACTGACTTCCGGACAACTGGAATAATTTAATCCTTTCATCCTAATATTATTTAAAAATTACCATAGAAATATTTTGTATATATTACATGACACGTAAATGATTCACAGGAACGTCTTAACATTTTGAAACCGTCTAATGCTGTTTTTTATTTACTGACAGTTGTCAAGTTTTCTACTTTTATTACAGGTATAAAACCGTACCTACCGTCAGTAGTTCTAGTATTGAAGGACAATCTATTATCGTACCACACCGTCCTGTAATATCCGAATTGCAAATTAGAATTCTTTCATTGTTCAATAGGAATTCTCGCGGAAAGACTAAGGCTAGGCACGAAAGGTCTGTTCTCGCTGCATCCAAAAATCACGAACAGCCCGTCCGTGAAACCGGAAACGACGGCGGCCCCGACGACGGAACGGTTTCAAAGCCAGCCGAGCGTCGAGAGCGCGAACACAATCAGCAACTCGAGTCTGCAGGACCTCGACGAGACCGGATTCACCGGCACAGAATTGACGGTGTGCACGGGCGAGTTGAACCGCGACCTAATCACCTGACGCCCGTTTCCGGACGACAACTTCTGAGACTGTATCCCCGGCGAAACTTCCGATCGGTTGAATGCCTAATCTCTCAGATCACAGCGCAGACGGACTGGAATTCGATCTGTTCGTGAAACAGACGAGAATGATCGAAACAGCTTGGAGTAATTTTGTTCTGATGCACGTGGGAGTGGAGAATCCAGCAGGA